TTGATTATGCCATGGTTCAGGCAATGGCAGCAGCAATGGCCCAGGTCATGCAGCAATACATCCCCACACCAGCTGTGGTGCAAACAAACAACTTGACCCCACAAAAAGGAGTGTTGCCAAGCCCAGAACCTTTGATGGGTCCATGGCAAAATATGAAGAATGGGTCATCAAGATGAGGGCCTTCTGTAAAGTGGCTGTTCACCACTACACAAGCCAGGACTGCATGGCATTCCAGACCCAGATGACTGGTCCAATCACTGGCAACTATGCTCATGCCAAGCTGGACTTCCACTTGGCAAATGGAAACTGGCCAATGATTGATGAGGTGGTGGCTGACCTCAACTCCTGCTTCTGGCCCATGAACAATAGGGATTGGGCCTGGAAGAAGATGCAGAAAGTGAGGCAGGGACAGTCTTGAATGGATGCCTTCTTGGCAGAATTTGACAGTTGGAAACTAATGGCAGCTTCTTCTGATGACTTGGCTATCCTGTGCCTCAAACAGGCAATCAACCCCAAGGTGCTTCAGCTCATGCACCATTTGGGAAAAAGAAAGGACATGTACAAAGAGTATGTAACTGAGCTCTGGCTGGTGGCTGGCAATTTTGAAAACCACCACTACATGACAGCCTCCTCTTTGAGGGTATGGCCTCAAAACCATCCTTGTGGCTTCTCTGCCACAGGAACTCAACCCAGAGCCAGTGCCCCCATGGACATAGGCACTGCCCAGCAGCAAGGAAAGGGGAAGGGACCCCCTAAGGACAAGTCCCATATAACCTGTTTCAGACATGGCCTAAAGGGTCATTACCGAAGTGAGTGCCCTAAACAGGCACAACCACAAGGATGCCCCATCAGGGCTGTAAATACTGACACTGGTGCTGACCCCTGCCTAAGAGCAATGGAGGGGATGAGCTTTGAAGAAATTGTTGCTCATATTAACCAGTTAAACAAATCAGAGCTGCAATGAAATTGGGTCCTGAAGACTCTGGCATACAGACATTTGCTCCTGTTTCTCCTTCTCCTCATTTTAGTTACAGATTTTGACCTACTTATGGACTTAAAAATATAAAAGAAAACATAAAAATAGAAAATAAAAATACCAAAAATAGTGTACTGGTATTTTCTTTCAATCATTTCTCATTCCTTAGCATAGAAGAACCACAGGAGTTATTTAATGGTTCAGAATCTGTTTCTCCCTCTCTCACTTTTACATCATCTGAAGTGGAGTCCTGAAAGGGCTCAGGGCCAGATGTAAAACCATGCCTGCTTAATTCCACTTGCAACAAAAAACAAAAAAATGTTTCTTTCAATCTCCCAGACCCAGAAAGTAGTAGTGCAAAGACCTCCATATGGTCTGAAACCTGATGCACACTGAACTTGAAGGATTCCATGGAGGTCCCTTTGGTCTTGTGAACAAATGCTGGGTTGGCATTCAAGGTTAATGTGCTGCTTGATAGTGGCACTACTGGAGTATTTATAGATAGAAGCTTCATTGAAAGGAACTGGATTCCAAAGATAGTGCTGCCAAGGGCAGTGGATGTGTTTAATGTCAATGGTTCACCTAATTCCACTGGAAGGATTATGCATCAGGCTCACCTTCAACTCTCCTACCTTAACCATCACAAGGAACTCTTTGCCAAGATAACTGATCTAGGAGGTAGTACCATGATCCTGGGACACACCTGGTTACATTAGCATAACCTGCTGATAGATTGGAAAACCAGCAAGGTTAAAATGGGAAGATGCCCAGCTGGATGCCAACAGCTGGCACCAAAATCCTCATTTGTACATAAGGTGGAAAAGCTCAAAAGGGAAGCCATGGACTCTTATGTAACCTGGATTCAAAATCTAGGAATGGACAAACCAAAAACAGATAAAACCCCTGAGGAACTTGTTCTAAAGGCATATCATGAATATTTATCAGTCTTTTCAGAAAAGGAATCCAAACACATGCCACTTAGGAAACCTTGGGACCATGCAATAGAGATAAAGGAGTCATTTGTACCAAAGAAAGGAAGGTTGATCCCTCTCTCCCCTGGCAAGCAATGAGAAGTCAGTGACTTTTGTCCCAACTTTTTCACACACATCACAAGACATTACAATGTAAGTTAAGGTCCTGCTTTCCCACCCTGCCTTCTAATGCATGCTAATGGCAGAAAAGTTTATGAAGTTGATGTTATAATGACATAAGAATGATGGTGGGTTTCATCATCACTGCCTGATGTAGTCATTATATTTCCCTTAAAAGGCTATTCAAGGAGAGAGCATCATAAGGCACTATGACAAGCTCTGTCACCATCAACATGCCATACTGTCATTATAACACCCTTAAAAGGCTATTTAATGCATGCAGCTATGCTAAGGGATTACAACAGGCTACCAGCACCTGCCAACATGTCGACACTCATTATAATTTCATATTTATCATTATGATGCTACCTTCCACTCTACCAATGTTGACTTGGGTCAATGTAACATTTTTCTTGTTCTCATTCTTTCATTCTGATCGCAATTCCAAGACATTGTTTTTAAAAACCCATGTGCATGACATTGACTACAGTGTACTTAACCACATGGATATAGGTCATAGTACCTAAATTTGAGGCTAATATAAGAGGACAAAATGATGATGCAGCAATTCCAAGTAGGTGCAGGGTATCTATCAGGGAATAAGGAGTTCATAGCATGTAGGACTTGAGGAATCTGACATGTTTGATTGGTGTCAAGTCAGTGAGCTGCAGTAACTTAAAGCAGCAGTGACCACATACCTGCACTGCCAAAACCTTGCTGCAGGTCAGACAAATAGCAATCCTGGACCAGCACTGTCACACACCAAAGGTGTTTGGTGAGGTGGACATGGATACAGCTGATGAATGGAGATGAAGACCATAGCCCTCATGTGAAGAAGGACAGCCAGAAATGTTGGCAGTCATCCCTTGCACAAGAACAAGTCATCAGTGCCAGAGAAAATGAAAGGGAGCAAGTTAAGTGCTGGCTAAAATTCTTAAGCACCCATGTATGGCATTCCAGTTTTTGACATATCTCCGCTGTTTCTGCAGATACAGGGACCATTCCCACACTTGCTTGTAGTGCTCAGCCACACAATCTTACCTTCCAAAATTGGAAAGGATTTGCACACTCCACACATTTCTGCAGCACTCCCTCCAAACAATGCTCATTTCACTTGTCCCCTTTGCTAGGGACCATGGCTACACATATCTGCCAGGAATTCCTACCAGCTTCCATCCTGAAGCATCCTGGTACATCCCACCCTCCTCTGTGCCCTCTCAGCCCATCCAGCTTGGACAGCATGTTCTTTTTGTCAGTATGACCTCTAGGAGGACATTCTTTGGTCACCTCAGGTCTGTCATTCACTTGGAAAGGTCTTATGTGGTTGTTTCAGTCTCTCTGGTCCAAGAAGCATATGGATCCTTCCTCCCTGCTCCCTGAAATGTCTTCATACCAGTCTTGTCTGTCATTCTTCCAAGATTGCAACAGCTACAGTATAATCTACTGTTCCCCACTCTCCCTGATTGCATCCATGATGAGTATGATGCACATCTTGCCTCCTTGTTGCAAGATACAGCAGAGGACACTCCCCCTTCATCCTCTCTTCCAACAGAGCCTTGTTCATGAAGTTTTTGTTTGCTTCACTGAGAGGATGGTTTGGGGGGGAAAGTTGTGATCCCCTATGCTCCTGTCACCCCACAGACCCCCAAGGCTTGACCCCTGTTGACATCTGACTCACCCTGTCCACTTTTGGATGTACTATATTGGCATCAGATCGGCACTGCCTCTCTGTCATCCCACCTTGGCCTAGAAGCAATCTCTTCAAGATGTGACATGCACAGCCTCCCCCTAATGTGATTCCAGTGCTCTTTCCCAGTTCCTGACATTACTTGACTCATACTTCAACATTCTGACTGTCTTTGACTCACCTATTGCCAATACTTGCCAATCTTTTGACTTTGCTTACTGATTCTTTGCTTTTTGGCTTGCTAATCTTTACCAATGCTTACCAATGCTTTCCAAGACAATTACCCATCACTTACATTCCTTACTCATCAGTTACCAATCACTTACCAAGTGTTTGCACCTTGTTTTCCAAGGGCAACACCCCTGTACTGTATATAAATCACTGTACTTAGATAGCAAAAAAAAAAAAAGGACATCAGTGAGCCCCTCTTGCTCACATTTTATCATCACTCAGTAATTCATTCAGCAGCTTCAATAGTTGAGACTTTATTAAGGGTCTAACTATCATCTACTTTGCTTATCCTTGTCTATCATCAATATACTTCGCTCCAGGCCCTCCCTGAGCTCAGTGCAGCTTAGGACATTGAATTAAGCTGCCATCCATCCTTCTGTAGGCTGACAGCAGTTTACCCCATCACTTTCTATCACATTCTTGCTCCCTCTTTGTCAGGAGCACCCCCAACCCTCAGCACTCATCCTTGAGTGTTGTAGCTCACAAAAAACCACCCAAATCAAAGGTTCTACCATCTAGGTACTGCATAGGCACACCACCACTCACTCTTTTTGTCTTTTGTGTTGGTTTTGGATGGTTTTCACCACTGAACCACACTTTGACTCACAGCAGCATCAGTCATGAGTGAAGAAAGAACCAAGTCAATGCTCACCTTTCGCAGCTCATGGACTTCAGCAGTTGGCCCTGGATCATGTAAAACCCTTTGCATCTGTTCAAAGTCACTGGCTTCAGAGCTGTCAGTCTCTGAGGAATCATTGTCAGAGTTGTTGTCTTCTCTATCAATATTAATCTCCTCATTTGAGAAGAAATCATCATTGCTCAGCTGGGGCATGGGGGATGTGTTTGCACAGCAGATGGAAGAGAATGACAATAAAAGGCACTGGAATGTTGTGAAGACAGGGAGGTTGAGAGGGACATGGCACCAGGTTTGAGATGTGAATCTCACCTCTTTTATAAGCATCACACCCATCACTGTCTGACTCTGGAACTAAAACCAAGCTGCAAGAGTGAGTCACTAGTGTGATTGCTGCACCATTTCAACATGTTGCATGCTGTAAAAACACTCATTATGTGCTGCATGGATAGAATATGTGCATAAATCAGTGCAAGCAGTACTTGAACATTCAGCATGTCCTATGAGATAACTGTTAATGCTATGGGGTGGGGAAACACTTAGCTTTACATCAGATAACTGCACAATGACAATGCCATTGTATCAGTATGTCATAAAGAATGTGTTTACATGCAGTAAAGGCTCAGAGCAAATAGGAAGCAGAATTGAGTCTGTAATATCCTCATGTGAAGAAACATATCTCCATCAATATGATTGACAACACAAAACTCACCAGGGTGTGAAGGGTCAGGAGCTACCACTGCACCATGAAGAATGGATTGAATGGGAATGAATATGGGGTTGTTGCAAGGAGCAGCCTTGATGCAGATAAGCCAGAGATCAATGTCAATTTGATGGGTGCCACCAACTTTTGCTGTCAGCAGCTGTACAAATGTGAGACTAATAGAGCCAACACCTGGGACATCACAGGTGAAGATAGAAATGAGGTGGACAAATGCAGTGTCTGTCTCCATGAGTTGAATGAGAGTGCAATCATACTGAGGCTGCCCATAGAATGATGGATTGCATCGCAGATGGTCAGTAATAACTTTCCAATCAACAGATGACTTGTAGTTCACTTTGAGGTATCTGTATTCTGTTATCTACAAGCTGGGCATTAGTTTAAAGAAGTTCATAAGAAGGTCACTTGCCTTGAAGTGAGTGGGGATAGCAATCCACTTACCAACTTGATAGCCATATTGAGGGAGGCACTGGTTACAAAAACCTGACAGTTTCATGCGAAAACCAACAAAGGCAGTGTCAGAGACACTGTGACTGGCCTCAATGTCCTGCACAGTAGATGGTTTGGAAGAGGAACCGAGATAGACATGATTTTTGTAGTTATCATCACACATTCTGAGCAGCTTGGCAGCAAGCTTATGTTCATCCATATGTAGGATCTGTGGAATATAAAACAGAGTTGCAATGTCAAATGAACAAGTGAAATGAATAATGATACCTGATCAATGAAGTCCCTGCCATTTGATTGACACTCATATGCCTCCTTGATAGGGCCATGCATACTCTCATTTGGGCATGTGCTGTAGTTCCTGGTGGCACCCTTTGTCCAGATATTGCACACTACATGTTTCCAAAGGTGCACCTTTGGAAAGTCCCAGTCCACCTGCAGCCCTTCTAACCCAGATTTATTTACACATTCAATATATGCCTAGGAATGAAGTTAGTGTAGGCCAATGTGTGATCTGGAGCCAATGGAAGAAAGTTGGCATACCTTCAATTTGTTGTCAAATTTCAGCAACTCTGCATCTATCATTTCTATTGTTTGTTCAGTATGCATGTCCAAACCTATCAAACTGTCCAGCTGGAGATAACTTGCAAGGATGTGGAGAAGACAATAGCCTTCAGGTGTGGCCATCCTTTTAAAAACATTCAGTAATGCATAGAACATTGCCTGTAGCATAAAATAGTAAGCACACAGAATGCAAACAAAACCAGACTTACTTTTGCCAGATCATGCATCTTGTTTCCATCTGAAAATGTTACACTGATGACATGCTTGAAGTGAAAGAGGAGCTGCCATCAGGGGAAGTTGGAAACACTACAGAAAGCCCAGGAAGTGATGGAATGAAGTATCAGAAGGAAGACTCACTAGTTCTCAACATTGGTTTCAGCATTGCACCCAAGGATGTTCAGAATTCTCAAGATGTCCTGTAGTATGTGCTTTCCCCATAGACCACCATGTAGAAAATGTAGGCAGTCAAAGCTGAGTGCACCATAAAGGTCAGAATTGCAGATGAGCCAGAAAACATTCTGTCATTTAAATTAATGTAGGTACAATGCTGGAATAAGGACAAGAATCACAAACTTACATCGATGGGCCACAACCCAAGTGCCTTAAGCACCTTTTCACCCTCAGTGTGGCTGTGTCTGTAAATGTGCACAGCACACTGTGCCTCATCCATGGAATGAAGTGGATATGTTTTGGAGATATTGTGAAGCTCCTCTAATGGAACAGGACACAGACACACTGGGCATGGGCATTTGCTGGTGTGGCTATGGATAAGCAACATCATACACCTGCATTGTGTGTGAGTCTTGAGCAAGGGCTGGGATAAATGAAAGCTTACTGTTCCTCATAATCTGCAGACAATATCAATATGATGGGAAACAACCAATGGGTTACTTGGTCATGGCACAACATATGGATATACCCAGTTTTCAAGTGCTGCATAATGTCACTGAGAAGTCTAGAAAATGATTCATGCCAAACAACACACTTGAGAGTTGTGTATCCTAATTTGCCCTCTTCTTCAGCATCCTCAGGGACCTGCATGCAAAGGAAATATCTGTTTACAAAAGGCATGAACTTCAGGGCACTGGGACAATGTATGACTGGTAACCATCCAACAATGCAGCCTCCCCCAATTGCATGGCTATTCCATATCTCTACTGGGAGGTTTGCACAATGGACCACAACAGGATAGCCCTTTGCAGTGCCAAACAATGATAATTTGGTTTTGTTGGCATAAATAATAAAGGCAAATGGTACAGCATTTGGAACTTTGGGCAAGGAGAACTAGTAGTTACATCAAATTACTGCTACCTAACAAGTTGACAACAAGTATGCACTTGAATGTCCCACCAGCTGTCACCCATTGTGAGTCAAAGTGTGGTTCAGTGGTGAAAACCATCCAAAACCAACACAAAAGACAAAAAGAGCAAGTGGTGGTGTGCATATGTGGTACCTAGATGGTAGAACCTTTGACCTGGGTGGGTTTTTGCAAGCTACAACACTCAAGGACGAGTGCTGAGGGTTGGGGGTGCTCCTGATGAAGAGGGAGCAAGAATGCGATAGAAAGTGATAGGTTAGACTGCTGTCAGCCTACAGAAGGATGGATGGCAACTTAATTTGATGTTCTAAGCTGCGCTGAGCTCAGGGAGGGCCTGGAGCAAAGTATATTGATGATAGACAAGGATAAGCAAAGTAGATGATAGTTAGACCCTTACTAAAGTCTCAACTATCAAAGCTGCTGAATGAATTACTGAGTGATGATAAAATGCAAGCAAGAGGGGCTCTCTGACATCTTCTTTTTTTTTTTTTGCTATCTAAGTACAGTGATTTATATACAGTACAGGGGTGTTGCCCTTGGAAAACAAGGTGCAAACACTTGGTAAGTGATTGGTAACTGATGAGTAAGGAATGTAAGTGATGGGTAATCATCTTGGAAAGCATTGGTAAGGATTAGCAAGCCAAAAGGCAAAGAATTAAGCAAAGTCAAAAGATTGGCAAGTATTGGCAATAGGTGAGTCAAAGACAGTCAGAATGTTGAAGTATGAGTCAAGTAATGTCAGGAACTGGGAAAGAGCACTGGAATCACATTAGGGGGAGGCTGTGCATGTCACATCTTGAAGAGATTGCTTCTAGGCCAAGGTGGGATGACAGAGAGGCAGTGCTGATCTGATGCTGATATAGTACATCCAAAAGTGGACAGGTTGAGTCAGATGTCAGCAGGGGTCAAGCCTTGGGGGTCTGTGGGGTGACAGGAGCATAGGGGATCACAACTTTCCCCCCCAAACCATCCTCTCAGTGAAGCAAACAAAAACTTCATGAATGAGGCTCTGTTGGAAGAGAGGATGAAGGGGGAGTGTCTTCTGCTGTATCTTGCAACAAGGAGGCAAGATGTGCATCATACTTGTCATGGATGCAATCAGGGAGAGTGGAGAACAGTAGATTATACTGTAGCTGTCACAATCTTGGAAGAATGATGGATGAGACTGGTATGAAGACATTGCAGGGAGTAGGGAGGAAGGATCCATATGCTTCTTGGACTGGAGAGACTGAAATGACCACATAAGACCTTTCCAAGTGAATGACAGACCTGAGGTGACCAAAGAATGTCCTCCTAGAGGTCATACTGACAAAAAGAACATGCTGCCCAAGCTGGATGGGCTGAGAGGGCACAGATGAGGGTGGGATGTACCAGGATGCTTCAGGACAGAAGCTGGTAGGAATTCCTGGCAGATATATGTAGCCATGGTCCCTAGCAAAGGGGACAAGTGAAATGACTGATGTGGAGGTGGCCATATCAGAAGAATTTAGTGAAATGAGTGTCTTTTGGAGGGAGTGCTGTAGAAACATGTGGAGTGCACAAATCCTTTCCAATTTTGGAAGGTATGATTGCATGGCCAAGCACTACAAGCGAGTGTGGGAATGGTCTCAGTATCTGCAGAAACAGTGGAGATATGTCAAAAACTGGAATGCTGTACACTGGTGCTTAAGAATTTTAACCAGTGGTTAACTTGCTCCCTTTCTTTTTCTTTGGCACTGATGACTCATTCTTGTGCAAAGGATGACTGCTGACATTTCTGGCTGTCCTTCTTTGCATGAGGGCTATGGTCTCCACCTCCACTCATCAGCTGTATCCATGTCCACCTCACCAAACACCTTTGGTGTGTGACACCATCCAGGGCTCATCATAGAAGCATTCACACCCATGTCCATCATGCTTGAACAAGCATTGTGCATCCCAAATGAAGTGTGGAGGCAAAATGTCAAGTGCCCATTCCCAGATGGGTCATGTACCTCATATGTCTGCACTTCCTTCTTATATGCTGCAACGACTGTATGTTTGGAGAACTGTAAGTATGATGGAGCAGTTACAGCAAAGTTAGTAAACTGAACATGGTACTAACATACCAGTGTGAGCTCTGCCACTGCAGCATCACAGGCTTTGCAAAACTTGACATCATTCTTGAGAGTCACCCAAGCAGCCCCTTTTGCAACACAGCCAATGAGATCTAACAAAGCATCAACTTGCTTCTGATTTAGGCTTGCTTCCAGGGCAATCTCCATAAACTCAAAGTCACCAACACCATGGAATGGTCAGTAGGGAGTGTTGTCTGTTGGAGGAACAAACATTGTCAAGCACCTTTGGAACTCATCAAAACTTTGACAAAGTGGAGGCTGGTTGCTGCATGGATGAAACTCAGTTTTGAATTCTATTACTTGCTGTGATAGCCAGGGGCACAATGGCTGGGATTGAGAAGTAGTCAATGATCTTGTGCCCATCATAGCATCTGATAGTGCTAAAGAGGTGTACTTGTAACCATCAAATAGAAAAAACTAAATTGAGGATTGCACCTGGACCTCCAAGAGGTTCATTCTCATGTGCACTGGCAGGGTATTCATGTTCCACAAACTTGCACAGTGGGGCATTGACAATGGGATTTCCTAAGCCAGTTGTGTATTTGGCAGAAGAAGGGGAAGGGAAGCCTTACTTTCATCATCAAATGAGTATATAGATGGGCCAGCCTCATCACCATTGGGAACAGTGACAAAACTGGAAGGGGAATGTAACATGTTGGGTTCTGCATTTTCAGCAGGCAGACCCTGAGCATTACACATTTTCTTCATTGCACAGAATTGTGCTGACTTGGGCATGGCTGTTGGGAAGTGGTACTTAGGACAGGTGATGTAGAACGATGCTCACCTTTTTCAAACTGCTCCAAAACTTGGCCATATCATTTGTGTTCTTGCTTGGCTTCAGTTTGTTTCCTGCAGCTCGCTTCATGCCTCTTGAAACTGTGTGGCTTGAATGTCTTGTTGCAATATTTGCATATCTGACCTGCTAGAGTCCTTTCAGAATATTTGTACTTTGAGTGGGCCCTTCAAGATGGCCCCATGGTAGCAGTAGTCTGTCAATTATGTCAGGTTAATAGCAAGTAATAGTGGAAAGTTAGTGGGTTCTGCAATGGATTGAAGTGATACACACCTTGAAGGGCAAGGACAGCAGTGCATGATGGTGAAGGGATAATGATCAGCTTGGAATGCCGCTTCATTTACATATATTATAGATGCAGAGTCATTAGGACTATCCTTACAATACCTTCTGATTATCAAAGATTATTGCAATGTCACATGGCTTATTGAAATGATAGGTAAGGTACAGTTATTCTATTAGATTCCATCAGAATGGTATCATAATGTACATTATAATGTGATGACATGTCATTCAAGGTTGCCAGCATCCTAATGGTACTGAACAAATTTGTGACATTGTCAATGGTCAGCTCAAGAAGGGATATGTTTGGCCTAGTAAATCACCACAAACCTCTCCTTGTTACGCTTCCGTCAGGGGTCTTACCTTTTTCGACTTCTTGCGGTCATGTGCATCACGTGCCTTGTCACGTCCCTCATACTTGTCATCGCGTTAGGAGTGCATATGTTGCAAGGACAACTCAGATCACCCGCTGTCCAGGTATTTCCAATACCTGTCGAGACTCACCGTTTGTGATCTGAAGTGTTCACTGCCTTTGTGATTGAAGAGATGTTCCCTTCTAGCTCCGGTGACTCTTTCTGATTCTCTTTGACTCGCTTTCATTGCATGTATGTTATACTATAGTTCCGGTGTCTGGCTCCTCGCTGTGCATTGATGGCACAGCCGGTATAGCCTTTGTTTCCATCCCTATCCCCATCGTTGACACCGTATGACTCTTATTTATTTCAAAAGGTCAGCTTGTTGACTGCTGTGGATACACGTTGCGACTGGAGCGGTACTCGTACTTAGAGGTATATAAACTTGAGTACCATACCTTGTATCCTCAGTTTTTCAATAGCTTGCAACTGAGCTAATTACTTTGCTTCGATCCTCGTCTTCTCTCCGCGTGAACAACCTTAGGGACTCGCCAGCAGACAAGACCTCTGTTGGATCTTCGCAATAACTCAGCCATAGGGGTTACGATACGTTCGGCCCGTAGACTCCCACCTTGTGCGCTTCGTGCCTATTCCATTTGAAGAAGTCACCGCGCCCGGGCATAACACTCCTGTGTTCTTCATCCCTAAAAAGGACAGAAAGAAGTGCATGGTTCAGGACTACAGATATTTAAACAAGCATACTGTTAAAAACTCATATCCTCTTCCTTTAATATCTCAGCTTGTCAACAAGCTGAAAGGTTTCAAACTCTTTACAAAGATGGATCTTCATTGGGGTATGGAAAGCTGGACAGTCATGCTCAGAAAGGCGGTGGCCAAGGTGCCCATAAATACTAGACTTGGTAATTGACCCCCTTGGGACCCAAGACACCACAAACTTACCCGAGGTATAATTTAACAGCTTTGCATATATTATAATGAATCACGAAAAATGGCCACGAAAATGTAGATACGAGCCTGACATACTACAAAGTATCTACCACTTATCTAGGAATAGGTCATCATCATCACTCTCTTCGTCAGAAAACACCCTACACTGTATTTTTTGAAGCTTCGCTCTTGGCCACTGTCGAGAACAGTGGAACTTCAATTGCAGCTGCTTGTTGAAAGCCGAGACCGAAGCTTCACATTATGTAATTGTGTAAGCCACACCTCTCGTGGAGCGCTGCCTGCCCTTGCCCGCCTGCCGTAGATAATTCCATAGCCACTGACAAGTTAAAAATGCTGCTGGCCCACCACTACTCCCAACCCACATCCGCATTTGGTACATATTGAAATTTCCCACCCTACTGCCCTGTAGTCCCCTGGGTCAGCTCCCTTGCCCTACCGGGCTCTATCTTCTGCTGGCATGCATCATATATGATCATTAACATGAAGTATAAGTATATTAGAGCATAATTGAACACTTAGTCGAGTATACTAGTGGCCCTGAATAGCTTGGAAATGAGATAGGGGTAAAAAGCCAAAAAGCGGACGCTTTTCTGATATATTGGACATATCTACTTGGTTTTCATGTCTCCTTCAAGGTAATATGTATGCCTACAGCATATCCAAAGTTCATAGTCTTTGATGGAGTACTTTACATGTGGTGACACAATCTCCTCCTCCCTGTATTTCACCATAGAAAATTTTTTCTGGGTCTTTTTGTGCTGGTACTGTGATGTAACATGGTATAGTAGTTACACTTCGTGAATTGGTGCATAATTGGACCGCCCATCAGGTGGCTGAGAAGCTCTGAATTGCTAGAAACGATTTCAGGGGTTACAGACAAAAAAGTGTTCGCAATTTTGCTACATTTGATATGGGCATTTGAGAGGGACATCCCCTTGTAGTGGCCCTCTGTACCTATATAATATCACAAGCTCATTGAATGGGGTGGAGCTCCTGAGGTGTTGTGCCATGGTCTTCCCCTGCTGGTATTTAGGGGCTCCATCAATTTCCAGGAAGTATATTGCTATTCCGACTATCTAGGGATCTATTGAATACTTATTCACAACCAAAAAAATAAATACCAAGTCCACAGCAGAAGGGGAGAGAGCAGGGGAAGGAAAACAATCACCCAGAGAGCGTGGGAAAATGCGCAAAAAGTTGCGGAGACTTTTAGAACATATCAAAAAGATGGAATGGTACGTCATACACAGTGTCTGGTACTCAATGGATGGAGTACCATGTTCCCCTTGGTCATGGGACATGCCTTCATGTAATATAATACCTGCATTACCCAGAGAACCCAAAAATATGTGAAAAATGATACATGTGGACTTCTGATCCAGTAAATACATTTCACTACTGAGGATAAGAGACTGGTACCAAGTCTCAAGTTCTGAGGGTGTGACACACTGAAGTAGGCGTAATATAATTCTAGGAGGAGCTATCAGATGTTAAAATCCCAGTACTACCATCCATTGAGCACCAGACACTGTGTATGACGTACCATTCCATCTTTTTGATATGTTCTAAAAGTCTCCGCAACTTTTTGCGCATTTTCCCACGCTCTCTGGGTGATTGTTTTCCTTCCCCTGCTCTCTCCCCTTCTGCTGTGGACTTGGTATTTATTTTTTTGGTTGTGAATAAGTATTCAATAGATCCCTAGATAGTCGGAATAGCAATATACTTCCTGGAAATTGATGGAGCCCCTAAATACCAGCAGGGGAAGACCATGGCACAACACCTCAGGAGCTCCACCCCATTCAATGAGCTTGTGATATTATATAGGTACAGAGGGCCACTACAAGGGGATGTCCCTCTCAAATGCCCATATCAAATGTAGCAAAATTGCGAACACTTTTTTGTCTGTAACCCCTGAAATCGTTTCTAGCAATTCAGAGCTTCTCAGCCACCTGATGGGCGGTCCAATTATGCACCAATTCACGAAGTGTAACTACTATACCATGTTACATCACAGTACCAGCACAAAAAGACCCAGAAAAAATTTTCTATGGTGAAATACAGGGAGGAGGAGATTGTGTCACCACATGTAAAGTACTCCATCAAAGACTATGAACTTTGGATATGCTGTAGGCATACATATTACCTTGAAGGAGACATGAAAACCAAGTAGATATGTCCAATATATCAGAAAAGCGTCCGCTTTTTGGCTTTTTACCCCTATCTCATTTCCAAGCTATTCAGGGCCACTAGTATACTCGACTAAGTGTTCAATTATGCTCTAATATACTTATACTTCATGTTAATGATCATATATGATGCATGCCAGCAGAAGATAGAGCCCGGTAGGGCAAGGGAGCTGACCCAGGGGACTACAGGGCAGTAGGGTGGGAAATTTCAATATATACCAAATGCGGATGTGGGTTGGGAGTAGTGGTGGGCCAGCAGCATTTTTAACTTGTCAGTGGCTATGGAATTATCTACGGCAGGCGGGCAAGGGCAGGAAGCGCTCCACGAGAGGTGTGGCTTACACAATTACATAATGTGAAGCTTCGGTCTCGGCTTTCAACAAGCAGCTGCAATTGAAGTTCTAGAGTGCGCTTGACAGCTACCGAGATACTGAAGGTTCATTTTCACAGTACTGCCTGGCAATTGATATGATCATCGATGCCCTGAATAGCAGCGATTCTGAGCACACTTTTGCACTGATGCTCTCCCAGCAAGGCATGGTATTAGTGGAAGGCAAGTACCTGTGGTACTTGATACATTATGTAGTACTACAGTAACTAGGATGTCATTACTTCGACCTTGGCAGAGTCTGCATAAATACCTATAAACACCCATGTGTATTTTTCTGGGGCTGTCCCAGGTCCCAAGGTGGCCGACTACCAAATGCAGTAGGTGTACGGCACATCTCCTACCATGTACCTGAGCATGACCGTCTGGCTTTCCATATTGGGGCTACAACAACATTAGGATCAAAGAAGGAGATGAATGGAAGGCTGCCTTTGTATGCCATCATGGTGCTTTTGAGCCCCTAGTCATGTTCTTCAGGCTTTGTAACTCACCCACCACATTCCAAAACATGATGAACAATATCTTTGGCAATATGGAGGATGTGCTCATTGTCTACATCAATGACCTAATGGTATTTACAAAAATGGAAAATCAGGAGGAACATGACAAGATTGTGCTGGAAGTGCTTAGAAGCTTGAAGATAAACAACCTATTTGTCAAACCCCAGAAGTGTATCTTTGGTCAACAAGAGGTGGACTTCTTAGGAATGATCATTGACATTAATGGAGTGTGTATGGACCCTGCCAAGATCTCTGCTGTGCAAGATTGGCCCATACCTGCAAACATTCATGGAGTTTGCAGCTTTCTTGGCCTGGCAAACTTCTACTGATGCTTCATTAAGGACTTTGTGCAGATGGCAAAACCCCTAAATAACCTCACAAAGAAAGACCTTCCATTCATATGGGATAACAAGTGTCATATGGCATTTGAAACACTAAAAGAAGCCTTCACCACCACTCCTGTCCTTGCATTCCCTGATCAGGATCAGAAGTTTAGATTAGAAACAGATGCCTCAGACTATGCCACCAGAGCAGTGCTCTCAGTAGAATGTGATGACAGTCTCTGGAGACCTGTCACCCACTCCAGTCACTCTCTATCTGGGGCTGAGCTTAATTATACAGTTCACAACAAAGAAATGCTAGCCATTATCTGTGCACTAGAGCAATGGTGTCATTACCTCAAGGCTACCCTGTACCAATTTGAAATTTGGATGGACCACCATAACCTCAAGTGGTTCATGACTGCTCAGAAACTCCACCCATGCCAGGTGCATTGGGCACAGTACTTTAGTTGGTTTAACTATATTATTGTTCATAAACCTGGAGTCACAATGGGAAGACCAGATGCCCTGTCAAGACAAGAGGACTTTGTAGAAGGGAAAGAAAGAGCAAAGTCAGAAGAGTCCCTAATTATAAACCCAAACCAGGTTCATTTGGTAAAGTTAGAAAACCCTTTCATGGAAGACCTGCACATCAAATCCACTGGAGCCAAAGGAATCCCCACCATGTGTGAGTTCTGAGATGGTCTTCATCATGATGGAGAAAAGGCCTGGGTGCCTAGTGCACTTAGAAGGAAACTGCTTAATGCTCTTCACAACTCTCTCCTAGCAGGACATTGTGGTGTAAAAGGAACTTGGGAGTTGATCACACACTGGTTCACATGGTCTACCTTGAAACCCAATGTAGAAGAGTATGTAAAGCATTGCCAAACATGCCAAGCCAGCAAGTCTGGAAATAGACCACCCACAGGTGAACTCAAACCTTTACCTATCCCTGATGGGCCTTGGAGAGAGTTAACGACCAACTTCATGGACCTTGGAGTAAAAGGATCTTCTGGAAAGTCCCATGTCCTGGTCATCATTGACAGATTCTCTAAGGAAGCAGAGTTCATTTCCTGCACTGCAGAAGAAACAGCTGCTAGCACAGCTTGTTTTTATCTCACACATGTTTGGAAGCATCACAGACTTCTGGACTCTATTGTATCAGACCAAGGCCCTCAGTTTGCCTCATCCTTCATGAAGGAGCTATTTAAAATGTTGGGAGTACAGCAAAAACTCTCTACAGCATTCCACCCACAGACAGACAGTCAGACAGAGCAGTTGAACTGTGAAATCCAACAGTATTTATGGATGTATGCCAACCAGCAGCAGGCTTGCTGGGAGGAGTGGCTACCATTAGCTCAGAAGTGCCCCTTTGAAGTTACTCATTCCTATAGACCTAGGATGGGCATTGAACCAATGACTTTGAAGGTAGAAGCAGCAGAGGAAGTTGCCAAATCTTGGTTCCAGGTGTTCCAAGATGTAAAAGCAAACCTCACCAAGGCACATCCCCAGCAGAAGCAACAAGTGGATAGATGCCACTCAGTTTCCCCCTCTTACTCTGTTGGATCACAGGTCTGGCTAGCTACAGACCATCTGTCTCTGAAAGAGTGGCAGAGCCATAAACTTTCTGAAAAGTGGATCAGACTGTATGAAGTTCTAGAGGTACTTCCAAATGCCCTTAAGTTAAAGTTACCACACAACATGAGGATCTGTCTGGTTGTGAATGTCTCATGGGTTAAACCCTATCTTGGTGCTCTTGATGGGCAGCCTGTCAACAGGCCAGGACCACAGAGGGTTACTGATGAAGGAGATGTTGAATATGAGGTTGAATATGCTGTTGACTCCCATTTGAAATGTGGAGCTCTTCAATTCCTTGTCCATTGAAGGGGATACCCCAAGGAAGATCATACTTGGGAGCCAGCCTCCACCTTGAAGAATTCACAGATGGTGATCAAGGATTTCTATCAATCCTACCCTGGTGCCCCCTGGAGGTTGTCTCTCCTCTTATCAGAAAGCCTTGACAGCTTGTTCACACCTGTCCCAGAACTGTTTACTACCATTCATCCTATTTGGTCTCACCTGGAAATTGAGCCTTAGGAGGGGATAGTGTAATGACTGGCAGACTTTTCACTTCTGCATGTCCTAGTTGCCCATATATATCAAACCCTCTGGTTAGGGTTATGCTTTAAGGATGCTTAGTCATCTCAGACTTTTCCTTTTGCTTACCCTTTTACACTTACATGATACTTAGTAAGGCTGTGCCTCATTGCTAACACATGTATGCATTCATCCAATAGCATAGTTTTCTCTTTTGTTTGCCTCCTTCTTGAACATTCTCTTGTGGCAGTACATACAAACAGTAAGGCAGTATATAAGTCCTGTCATTTGTCATAGTCACTCTCTCTAATCTAGTTCATTTTGAGCTTGTCCTTTGATCAACAGGTTCCACTCCCACACACTCTCTGGTTTGAAGTGATAGCTGAGAAGACTTGCATCTTTGGTTGCTTCAATTGTTGCCATCACTGGAGTGATGGTCAGAGTCATCTGGGTCATTGTCACCATTACCTCCAGGGTTGCTGAAGGGAGTGGGAGGCTGATGACCAGCTGGTGTTGGTGTACCTCAATTATTGGAAGCCAGTGTAGTACCAGAACAACAGGCTGAGAATCCTTGGAACTGCTGCACAATTGCAGAAGTCCAGCAGTGACTGGCAAGGGAACTAAGAACTGACTGGTGGTGGGGGTTGTCTGAGGTTTCTGGTTAAGTTGGTCTCAAGGCAGAGGCAGATTCTAAAGCACAGTCTGCTCAAGCTTGGGTGCAGGTTCTGGTCACGGGTGGTGAGTGACTTGCACAAGTGGTAGTCTGAATATACTGTTAAATTCATGACTGGGTTGGGGGTCAAAGGCTGAAGGCCAAGTGCTGGGTGCAACAACCCTTGGTCTTAGCTCATGTGCTAGACCCTTGTGCAAGCTAGGTTGAAGTCAGAGAAAGTTGAGGGGGGTCAGTAGCAAAAGCCAAGAGTCATCTCAGGCTTAAGCTAGGAGCTTAGGGGGTGAACTAGATTGATATTCAGACTGATGAACTAAGTACAATCTACATAGAGTATATCTACTGAAGTCTGGCAACCCAAAGGCCAGGGTTACCAGTGAGGGACTAAATAGTGGTGCAAGGAACTAACTAAAAGTCAAGTGTGAAGGCAGGGGTCAGAGAGCTGAAGACAGACACTGCCTCAGCACAAGCAAGGGCAGTACAAAAGCTAACTAGAAAGGTATAGTGAAGAACAGAGTTCATTTTGGTGTTCAGCATTGACTCAGCATTCAGAACTTAAGACCAAGCTGTGGGTGTCTCAGCATATGACATGCATCAACTGGCTTTTGAGGGGGTATGTATGTGGTGCCATGTATCCCTTCATCCAAGTGCAATGTTTTCTGATTGAGCATGATTCATAAGTGTCCTCTCTCAGCTGGCTGTTCACTCATGTCTGATTTGCAATGGGCATGATCTCTTTGGCCCTCATTTCCTCAGAAGTGAGTTTTGATTTGCATTGAAGAAGTGGATCTTGCATGTTTCAAAGTATATGTAGTTTCACTTCATCTCTCATCAAGGTGCTGTGACAATAGGTATCTCTACATCGTTGTACATTGTACTATCTGCACAAATGCAGCTATGGCGTGTGCAGCATTCCGGCGTGGTAAAGAAAGTGCCAGTCATGTTCTAGTTTCGGGTAGCCTTGGAATTGAGTCATAATGCCGGTGGTAAATTGAGGGGTTCCAATGAGTTACAAGGCGTGGGAACTCGAACTTAGTTTTTCCGACACATATATGGCGCGACATCCATTACACATCTGCAAATCTCGTTGGACACGACTTCCGAGCCGGATTATTTGGCATTCATTCCCAAAGCCATCCTGAAACGCACGGTCAGTAAATCGTTGGAGCCGAATCTGATCTCACAAACCTCAGTTGAATATAGGACCTTCTGAATGTTCTCCAGAGCCAGTTTCTGAGGTTCTTGGACGTCAGTTAACGTCTCCATTTCCTGCCGCACCAAAATTTCGATATCGCGAAGCTACAACTATGTTCAAAACGATCGCAGAAAACGAACGGGAATTAAAACACAGCATACCTTTGCAAAGTAGAAGTCCGTTTCCTTCTCTAAGCCCTCCATACGAGTGGTCAAATCTCGGATTTCAGCTTGGAGATTCTGCATGATTTCATTCGGTTGAGCGGACCCAGCTCGATTGCTGCTGATCGGCCTTTTGCCTCCAACACGGCCCCCAATCCCCAGACCCGCAGAGGCGCCGCCAGTTCGAGAACTGGACAATGGCGCGATCGTGCTGGGAGTACCTGTTGGCACCCCTCGTCTGCGGGCGACTGGATCATAACCCTGTCCGCCGTAATTAGAGTCCCAAAAGTGTCTTATCCATCGCAGGAACTCTAGGTTGTCCCTGAGATTGAGTAAAATCGTGTTACCAATGTTTGCGCCAGCAGAGCACCAAGCAAACCACGCACTGCATTTTGCATTTGACAAGTTTTTCGATGGGTATCGGCTGAAGAGATCGTGCTTAAGCCAAATCAACGCTGTAGAAGAATTGTCGCAAACACGCCTTGTTGATCTTCCTTGCCTTGAAGACGTTTTGCATCACTTTAAAGTTTGCAACAAATTCGTACTCGCCCTTCGCATTCATTTTAACTTTCGTCATAGGCACGTCCCCTGGCAAAAGATCGACGCGTTTTATCATAAACAATCCGAAAGAAGATGTTTCCTGGTGGCACGCACCATAGATAGAGTCCAGAATCTGGCAATAGGCACCACCAGTGCCGCATTGCTCGATCTTGGTATAGTTCAGTTGAAGAAGTTCATTAAGCCAAGCTAGTAGGTCTGAACGAGAAATGGCAGTCATGTTTACAGGTCAACGGCCAGATCTCAGGTTCGGAATGAATGAGGAGTTGTGATACGAAGACTGAAACAGACGACTATTTTGTCCAAAGAACTGAGGTGCCACTTTCCGAATTCAAAGCCTGCCAATCCCCGCGTATAGTGGCAGCAAAACGTCATCAAACCTGCGGATTTTCATCGAGCAAACATATTGCGGCGATTGGCTGCTGTCCGAGTAGGCCAGATTGACCGTCGCTGGACGTGAATAATGACGGATGGTGCATGCTCTTGCTTTCGATGGAGCCAACAATTTCTCTTCTTGCTTCGAGGACAAAATTATTGATTTCATTCAAGGAATTCATGGCCTCCATCTCTAGCAACGCTTTTCCAACTCAGGTCTGCAGGCGAATCGTGCAATGGACCAGGTGCAGCGGCCTAGCGGTGCTATGCCTCACTTTTGAAGCCTTGCAGCAAGAAGCAGAAGTTACAATGTACGAAATCATTATGTCGGGCAACATCCAGGTCACATTTCGCGCCCGCTATCTGTCATCTTCGGGAGCTCATCTCGGATCGTGTGTTCGCCCTTTCCATATCTTCCGGGATGGTAAGCGCTGCCAAAGAGTGTTGACACTTGACAGAGGACTTTTGGGGTCGTACAGCTAGCCATCTTTCTACAGTGTCTTTTTATTCACGACCCCACCTATAGCAATGGTCGGGCATTGAGTGATATGTCTCACATTCCTTCCTAACTCCTGGAAGCCCGACTTTTCTTTTACTGGGATTGTAAGCTGGTCAGGTTTCTGGGAAGCCAAAAATAAGCTAAGGAGTCTTTACATCGTTGATGGCCTAGACAGTGACCCTTGCAGCTCGAGGTTGGAAGCCTTCCTGGGCTACAAGTTTTCGATGGAAAACTCATGGCTGCAGAACACACCATGTTTGTCACGACATCCATCACGCATCTGCAAATCACGTTGGACACGAATTCCAAGCCGGACTTTTTGGCATTCATTCCAAAACCTGTACGCCTTGCATCTCTTGGTGCTCTAGGTGTACTCCACCTCTCAGAGCGTTTGACCGTACGAGTCCTTCCGTTAATTGCAGCTACGTGCTGTTGCCTCGTTATTTGTGGTATTATCTCCTTGCCATTGCGAAGGCCTAACGTAAGCACATATAACTAATAATTATGACCGACATTGCTAACAGCAGCTTGAATTCCTGAACTCAGTCAAACAACTTTTACTGAGCATTGCTATCAATGCGTCAGCTTCGGATACTAGAGGCTAACATAGCCGCATGGACGCTACAACCTTCGGGAACACAGCAACGCATCCTCGCCTCTGAGATCCGTGTTTATTATCCTTTCATGGAGTACGTATGTTTCAGGACAGGTGGCGGTCGAACGCTCTGGATCCCGGACGGAAATGATTGGAGCCACCATTTGGACAATGGTCATCACACCCCACTGGATGCTCTCTGGAAAGCTAGATGACATTTTTGAAATAGCGACTGTCAGCTGACATTTTACGTTGCTCGGGAGTCTCTTGTGTATACCTTCGTACGTCTACTTCTCCTTATACACTGTACTGCTGGTCTGATGTCCCTGCGATCGATGGAGTCAGTGCTATCACAGCATCGCGGGAATCTGCGGACTCCACAAGTGGCGTCCAGCTCTTGTAACTTGCCTCGTGGTCAGATACCTTGAAGACTTGCAGACCATACACGCAGACTCTGCGCGGCAACAGGAACGTGGTTTCCTTCCCAAAACAGGCTACACGAGTCATCCGCTTCCCAAGCCTAATGACACTGCCTCCCTTTCCTCCCTCTTGATCGCGTGTAAATATTGCAGGAATCGCCATGCCTGAAGGTTTCTTTTCGTTCTGCATCGAACAACACCACGGCATCGATAATATCCGCTTCATAAGACGCCATACACAGTCAGACCCTGACGATGAATGACCCTTTCCCGCAGACCCATTTAAAGCATGACCCCGTTACACCAGCCTGCGAAAGCAAAGAGACCTGGCATTCCATTTTTCCCTACCATCAATGGCACAGTCAGATAGGCCCATGTCGACCACTTCCTCTACATCTTCTTCCCGCTTACGCGGCGCCCTACCTTCCGTGACGCACTCTCTCGCGAAACTTCCGGCCATGTCTTCCCTCCCAAACGATATGCTTCATTATAATTCCGCACCACACAGCAGGGAAATGGTAAGGGTTCTGCACCATAGAGTTCTAAAATTTTACATGACCCACTACAGATGGAGTACGCACTTCAGAAACGAAGTCAACAAGCAGGAACACAGCAGAGTTTCGCTGCACTCAGTGTATGGCTTCCACCTCTACCTTGCAAGTACCAACTGCTAACTATTTTATGTCAGGCCTATGACATGCGGCGGACGCCTAGCCCCTCGACAAACGAAGATACACGTATTACAGTGCGGAGACAGCAAAATGGTCGGCAAACCAAAGTAAGTTCGCACTCTACTCGGCAGACAACGCTGGAATCTTCGGTAATTTCTTCAGTCACGCGACCGCACCTGAAGTTGTGCATGTACGCTCGATGGGATTGAGGCCTAGTTATTCCTTTTTCATGGAGAGAGCTGCCGGGATTAAATTATATTATTGCTGGATTGTCTCGAAAGGCACTAGAGAGAACTACATATGTGCCTGGTTATTAATGCCGAGGGAAGATCTTTACTGTGGATGTTCATTCTTTTTTTGTTTTGTTTTGTTTATAGCGCGCGCGACAATGGACAGTACTATGAATGCGCCTTTAAAATGGACCCCATGGTCCCGATCTGAAGATCTGGGTAGCTAGGCATGAAGCGCGTGGTGTGAAGTAGTGGAAAATAGTCCAACCTGCTGCGAGAACATGCACGAGACTCTAGCTTGGCTAGTAACTTCGGCAAACTACAGCTTGCAAAATGGCAGCCACTTTATCGATCGGCTAGATGATGCTTATCCGTACAAATTGCTGAACCGCACTGCCAACTGTACTGCCTGTACTGGGAAGGCTATGACTTGCACAAGCATGAAATTATGAGATACTGCGGTCTTCGGTTTCAGCGTTCGGAACGTTGCACCGAAGCAGCTTGTCAGGTGGGAACACTAATAGGCTTGAGGATGACTACCCTGCATTGTGTCGAATTTTGACCACCAACTGCTAAACGGCTAAAAGTAGAACGCCATGCAGAATGCAGTACCCCTGAGTTGCAGTTCTGAGATGGCGTGTGCACTTCGCAGCCCTGGTGACTAGCCGGGATGTTGTTCACACGCCAGGAGCTACGGAGCTATTCTCGTAGAAAGTTGCACTCCCAATGACTCTGGAGATCTGCGAAAGGTCCGGCACCCTGATGTTATCTCGTGGGGGGAGGGTTCTGAGGTGTTCAACCTCCAATACGTATACCTCCACGTTGACTTTGACTGAGTATTTGAAATGGAGGAGTGGGGATGGCGTATTAACGACCAGGACCTGCCCAGGATATTCCTTGCAGTCGAGGGTTCCACGCCTCGCGTTTTTCCACCCCAACAAGTGGACAGCTGAACACGGAAAAGGGCCACCATGACACGCTTTGACCTTCTACTGGCTGACTGGCGCCCGACGACGTACGGTGGTCCGACAGAGAAAAGCTTACCCACGGACTCTCAGGAGATATGTTGGACAAGGTGAAATGCACGTACATGCTGGTTGTCGTGGTACATCATCGTTTCCTTTTAAAAAAGTTTAGAGGACAACCTGGAATTCCACAGTGTTAGTAGTTACCGCTGAAGATTAGCACTGTTCACATAATACTTGCCAAAGACCATTGCAATCCCTTTGTCCGATCATTATCGTTTTTTTTTTTTTTTTAGAGAGGCTTACTACTTCAAAGTGACGAGCGGGCGAAGCAGACCTACGACGACGCTGAGGATATCCTAGCCTCATGACTTGTCTCTGTCGGGTTGGTGATGCAATATTGACTGCAGTGCTTCCACTGGAGCTCGACCTCGTTCTGCTAGGGTACAGTAAGAGACGCGTTTCTCCACTCTGGTAGCGAGGCTGAGAAGCATGTTGGCTCAGATGATGGCTACATTCGACAAGCCTCTTGTTCCGCTCTTGCCTTGCGCTGTTGCGAACCCGTGTCGGACTCACCTCCTTCGTCGGCATTACCAGAAGCTGGTCACCAGGACGAGAAGCCTTTCTTTGTTGCGTCTTCCAAATATTCTATAGCAGCCTCCATTCAATCATTGCATTTCATTCGCAACGAACGAACTGGGAACGCATTTATCATAGGTGGATCAGATGATGGTGGTGTAGCTATATGGTCGCTACGGTGAGTGACCACCTATCTGGCTCCTTCATCAATCTTACCAACTCTATCCAGGGATCTGAAACTACTTATGCGTTTCATACACTTCGTGGAACCCCTCTCCCATGTAGCTCAAATCCGGCCACAACATGAAACCGCGAATCCCTTCGGTGGTTATGTATTATGTTTCTCCTCTGATGGGACGATAGCCGTAATTACACTTAACGAGTTCCAGCTGTACGCTCATTTTGAATGGTCGTACCATTCATGCTACTCAAGGCGTTTTCCGCAGTTTGTGTCTCATCCCAGGCTCGGCTTCCGCGCTTACGCATGTTTACTATGCTGGCGGAGCTGATCACGAACAGATTATGGCCATCTATGGGGATGGGTCTGCCAGATTATGGGACTTCAAGGTTCGGGAATTCCGCCGTGCAATGGATCGCGAGAAGGCCAAGGAGTCTCTTGCTAAATCCTCCTGGGATGAATTGTGCGCGTGGCGTCTTCACAACAAATTATACATCAGCGACTGAGGTATCTCTTTACCAGTATCCTTGATAATCAAACGTCACAGCTATCGGCTTCCCTCCCGACAACTTTGAACGAATTGGGGGGACCAGGCGTGTTTTTTTACGCATTTTCTCTTAGCACGGTACTTATGAAGTGACAGTGTGTGCCACGTCCCTTGCTCTTCAGCGGTTTGTGGTTTTTACTGCCAAGGATACGACGGCACTCGACAACGCCTCATCTTACATTCCGAAACGTTCACTTCGGGCGACACCCCTTCCCCAACTTCGTGCTCTTTTATCCCTGCTGCTGACACCAACATTAAGTCCGGAGATAGATGAGATATGCACTAGCAAACTAGGTGTTCTAGCATCCCGTGGGCGCCTGGGTCGTGCTTGGTGAGTACCTAGAAGTGCCCCACGACAGAATTGCCGACATGGTTTTCAGCAGTCGATTGGCCTCCGCGTGCTGCCGCTCGGACTCGAGGAATGCTTGGTCCATATCTGGCGATGCCTCTGCGTTGCGGGCGGCCGCGATCGTAGCCGTTCTAAAGGCGTTGTCATCTTATGAAGGTATCGACCTGTCGTCTACTGTGATCGTGCCTTGACCACTTATGTCAGCTCTGCACGACGATTGCGAGACTGTGATCATATTCTACGCTACGTCACTCCCAACTGTGATAGGGCAACACTATATACCTCCAGATCTTGTATGGTTGGCAAGAAAGTGGTTTGAAACAACGAGTTGGGAGTTTCATTTCTGTAGTACCTTCACATACTGATCACTACCTAGATGACGTACGCCAGGCGACGAAGATCCTCGTTGATGCTGGAGTAGTAAGGTTGGGCGGCGAGGAAAGTGTCGGTCTGGTTGGAGCTTGGAAGCGGCATCGTAAGTGGAAAGTTTAGGATTCCACTAGGTCCACGTTTTCTTATCTCAATATAGTTCCAAGCACCGAGAGATCCCTTGATCACTCCAAGGTATCTTCGTTGGCCGTCTTCCTATGTGGATACGTATCGGTCGAGAAACACGCTCTTTTGTCTGATGAGTAAGTTGTGTCGATCTTCCTGTGCGGGAAGCATCTAAGATTCTTTTCAGCACTTTAGCCGACATTTCCAAGTCGGTCGCCTCATATTTACATAAGGAAGACTTGACCAGCCGTTTGTTAGCAGTTGACTTATGCACCCGAGGCTTTCAAGTCTGGCAGCGTTATGTGGATGCGATGGCTATCCTGCGTGCTTTGTTCACTCTCGCTATGAATTCTCGCAAAGATAATGTCTCAGTGCAGAATGTCGGTCAACAGGCGAGACAGGCCATCTTCCAGATTGCGTCGACAAACACTCCACTGTTCATGACGACTCTCACCCTCGACATACTCAGCCCGAAGAATCTCGAATACCGTAAAATTGTGATGCAGTTAGTGGCGCTGCTCACCCGGAAGGTTCGTGTTCCCGCACCTATTCATCGTCAAATTTCGGTGTTCGATAAACGTACAGAAACCTTTGCTACTGTATTCAAATCTTCCCCGCTTGATGGAAGCAGTAGTGAAGTCCTTAGACCCCAATTCAACTTCGAATCGCGACGCAGTTCATGACACAGCTACAGAAATCATCGGCTATGTCGTGAAAACGTGGGTCATTCTTGTTCCATCCTGTGTGGTGCTTGATGCTGTGATCCACAGATTCCCGACGGTTGATTTCCACATGGCCACCCAACGTCTCGCGGTTGGGACGTGCGAAGGTGCCTTCGTCATGTATGACCTCAAAACTGCGACTCAATTGTACGTTCTGGAGGGCCACAAAAAGCAGCCAACGGCGTGCTCATTCTCACCGGATGGCCGCCGGCTCGTCACAGTTTCACTGGAAGAAGGCACTGTACTTGTGTGGAAAGTGGGTTCGAGTTTCACAAGCTTTTTCCACCCTGGCGCGCCCCCTCGTCAGGGAAATGCCGGATCACAGCCGTACAAGACACTAGGGTTCAATATTGGTGAAGATGGTATGTTCTCCATTACACATGCATGCCCGTCCTGACTCGACGCTTGTTAGCAAACATATCCGTTGCAGATGCTTTTGAATGTGTAAATTTTGAGTGGCCGTCGGAGCGCAGTGTGCGCTTACATATCCGAGAAAATACGTTGACCTTTAGTACATAATTTATATCTCCCCCACGTCTGAAGACCGACTACGGTGACGAGTCGTGATAGGCCATTGTACGGATGGCGCTCATTCATGCGTCCAAGTCGCATGCATATGGACGCAGAGCACACCACTGTGGTTGGAGTTGTATAGCGTTGATACCTCGTTGGACCATTCTGTATCGAATGTCCTATTTGTGAGGTAAAACAGATGTGTATGAATGAGTGATTTAGATGTAACTTGCCTGCAGACGCGGAAGTGCCTCTGAGACGTTGAGAGGAGCGCCACCTGGCTGCTTGGCGCTCCAGAAGATCTCAGCAGAAGACGCAGCTCGAGGCCATACAATGGAGTCGAGATTTTGAGGACCCGATTGTTCTGTCCAGAGGAGTTGCTCTCCTGCAACGGAAGCCTTTCAGTCAGAGCACTTGATACTCTAACGTGTGACTCACCACCAAGAACGAGAGGATATTGAGTCTCCGTCAAGTTGGCAAGGGGGTCAAACGTGTAGGACTGGGAGCGATAAGTATCCAGAAGGGTAGCCAGTTGACTGGAAGCCTACCTCGGACCAAGTCTTGAATGGATCGCACCAGCTGTTCCTAATGTGGCGTGTAAGACGCACAGTCCACACTAGCTTGGCGGAACTCACCCAGTTGGATCGTCTCCAATCCATCCCCCGGCACCACAGTCCTGTCGGTTTACAGTTGTAGTTGCCTAGAGCGTAGAATGAAGAGACTCACTAGGTAAAAGTAGTTGGAGGGCGCTTGCACGATGCGGAATCCCTTCTCAACTACAGCTGCAGCATCTGCTGAGGAGATCCAGACCCTTCATCCAATCAACATCACCACTTCCTCGTGGTAAGACAAAAATGCCCACATTACAATTGTTTCGTTTGATAGTGTCAGGTTCCAATTCAGAACCATCTCTTCCCAAACCACTGGGGTCTTCCCCTGGGCGATGAGTGCCCCATGTGTCGCCTGCGTAAAAGTATCGAGCGCAGCGTTGAGCGTCATGCCTGTTTGGTTCAGTTGCTGTTGTGTCACAGAGTCGTTCACGTAGCAGTTCGTGTTCAGTTCGTCGCCTCCGGTGCTAAAGTATTTGGACATGAGGGTTTGAGCAACACTGGAGAGTAGAGATGCAGTAAAGTTGACCACTTCGGGGACTGCGAAGCGAAGTTGGCCAGCGGGGGGTTCGTTCGCGTAGGTGGCCCAGGGTGACGCATCGAAGCAAGCTACGTAATCAGGATAAGAAGTTCCGATGATAGCAGTATGACCTGGAGTATCAATTTCCTGTGTTTGTGGAATGTGGTATGAATTATCTCCGATTTATCGTTTAAGAAACACGCACTAGCAGCACATCAATACCACGCTGGCGAACATTGGTCAATGATATGACGAAAATCTCACGAGTACCTACCGCAGCAGCGTATGACACTATATACTGGACGTCACTTTCGGTGTACACCTCTTGGGGGGAGTAGGCACCATTATTGGCAAGTTCTGGATACAGGGAGACTTGGAGAGGGAAACTCTGACTGTCTGTGATATGCCAATGGAACATGTTTAGCTTGACCCAGCTCATTGCGTCCAAAGTTCTGGTTAGGTCTGTGACAGGAAAGCTATAGGGACGGGAACTCATTAACTTGGAATAGTCAGTGAGTCAGTGAATACGTACTAGTTCCTAGCTGTATCAAGCGCAAAACCGCGATAGGGCTAGGCGAGATTTGAGTGAACGGATCAGCTGCTACGGGAAATTCATGCTTACATAGGCGGGTTCGTCGACAATCTTTATTGGGGAAAGAAGAGTGTAGATCACGCCTTCATAATAGTACCACAACTGGGTAAAAGTTGTGAGACCTCTATAGAGGCCAAGCGTGGAATTCGCTGTCAGGGTGGCATGGCTCCCGTCTTGGGGAACGACAAGGGTGTATTCTTCGCTGCGAGTGCCCAAGGGCTTCACCGCCTCGGAAGAGATACTCCCGACTTGACTACCTTCCATAAGTGTCAATTTCAAGGATAAGAGGGCCTTTGCATTCCGAATGGCATAACTATCGCTAACGCCACGTCCAACGACTAGGCGGCCAAGCTTGTCGTTCTGAAGGTATGACTGAGTCTGAGCAACTGCTTGAAGGAGATCCGACGGGTTATTGGGGACTGCGACGTCGATCGAGAAAGAGGGGGATAGCATCAACGCGGTCGTTCCAGTTTCTAGAGAGGCTGGGATGGGCCAGAGCGCCCATACTGTCTGTGCAAATGGACTAAGCAAGGTAGCAAACGCCAACAACCTAGAGGGACTAAGGACCATGATGGTGGTTAGTAGGTAAATAACTTAAGGGAGAAAAAGACCTTTATATCACCACGGGGCTGGAACCCCTCACGCCAGTTCCCCTCCTCCTCCTCAGTCTCACTTGATCTCACCCTGGAGGTCGAAGAACGATCACGTGTTCCGGCTGCTATCGTGGGAGTCGGGGAAGCCAACATCGTCCGACGCGCAAACAAGACCAACCAAGTTGCCCGAGTCTAACCGCAAGTTCCGCTGCCGCTCGTTAGACTACAAACCAAAGTATGCAGCCCTCCCTCGTCCGCCGCCAGCTGGGAAACCTTATTCCTCCCAAAATTGCTACACTGAAACTTGTGGTGCGTTCAGATTGCTAGCTGTGTCTTGACCATTCCTGAGGCCTTCTTTAGTCGGCAGGTTCTGGTGAAGGGCTAGCACCCCTCGTAAATTTCTACTCAAGGCTACCAAAGGGGCCAGCACCAAGTCAAGTCGGAGGAATAAAAGCAAAGTACTTTAGCGGGAAGAACGCCTCGGCAGCACCTGCTGTTTGGGTCATCCTTGGCCTCTTTGCGCTTGGGTATACCATCGACTACCAGAGTTCGTGATTCCTGCGAGTTCTATTTTTCAAGTTGCTGATAGTCCATCTCCCATACAGTGCACTTGAGTGAGTGATCTTTCGTTGGCATTCCCTCATGTGTACTTAGGGTTAAATAGAGCATCATAAGAACCACGCGCACTAAAGACCTGCAGTGCTTGTGCGGTTCCCAGCCTTTGATTGCAGTATACCCCATCTCGTGGGTGACATGTTGCACTTCTTTCCTCATATAGATAGCAGAATTTTACTACGTTGCTGGTCCGTGATTCCCTCACCCCTTTGTTTCATCATCATGCACGAGGTTAGTGTGCTTCCAGCGAGAGCCATGCGGTTGCCCATAAATTTGCACTGGAGTTTCCGATTTGACTCCCCCTTTGGATATTACAACAGCCATGTTACGCTTCCATAGGCATGTTCAGGTCTGAAAGAAGTCGAGATTGAGCTCAGCCCACCTCCCACCAGACCTGAATACTTCCAATTGTGTGTAATTGCCTTGCACAGTATTTGTGGGATGCTGGGTTTGGATAGACGAAAGATTGCAATATCCAGTGCTTTCATAAGTATCCATAAGGACCTGATCTCAAAACAATTTTCCAATGCAGTTTGTACTGCCGCACGAACACTCGACGTACACGGCATCGTTGCGGGCTATCAGCTTGCCATTTGCTTGCTGCTCCGCCAGCGATTCCCTCTTTGCCTAGACATCATTTGAACGAGGAATCCGCAAGTGAATTTACATGCTACTCACCTCTGTATCCCCGTAGTACGAAAAACAGAGCTCTTCCCATGGTTCGACGTCACGGATGGTAAATACGGCCAGTAGTGGTTTGTTGATATCCGCGTCATTAATGTAGCAAGCGGTAATTTCGCAATTAGGATCACAGCTATGATTCTGCGACAGTGTCAGTCACCATAAATAGGAAGAAGGAACGGGGGCATAACATACCAAGAACCGTGTGAACTGGGAAACAATTAGTCAGTGGCAAGTGAAACTCAGACACTGGAGCATACGTTTCCTGCATGGTAGGCGTCTACCGCATACAGGTTCTCGTAGTCATTTTCATTTTTAAGGCCGAGCTTGAGGTGGTGAAAATCAATTGAAAATAGGTATGTGCGACCGAAAACGTTATAGAGCCTGGGATCGGGTTAAACGGCAGGAACTCAGTGAAGACTATCACTCACAGTCCACGGGCCTCTCCCTCTTGTTCGGTCAGGAGTTCTCCTGTATATATACCAACGTACGACCCTCTCGGTATCTTCTTTGGGCCCGCAAATACTCCTGTTCCGATGTCAGTTTTGCATGACACCTCTTCAATATCTGTTATGTACCCCAGCCTTTCCGTTCCGTTCTGACGATATTGACTGGCCATATCCTTCCGTTCTGAACGACCTATTAATATAATGTGGTTACTCCTTCACCCATGAGGAGAGATCTCGACCTTACCCGATTCGGACAATCATCATCACAATCACAGAATTGGTTGCATTCGAAGATAGGGCACCCTTCCCGTTGCAGAATCCCCCTACTGTCATACAAAAATGGGGAGCCAGGCCAGGTTGCCGGAAATAAACCGTCGCGGATGTACGGCTCAAGCCACTGTAGTTGGCGCTTCGCACATGCGCACGTTTTTGACTTCGGGTCGCATTTGCCTGGACACCCACAACTCACAAGATTGCGAACGTCAGGAGGTGGCACGCCTTCTCCGAACCACATCTTGTTTGTGTACACAAATTCCCATGGCGGCGTCGTCTCTTCTCCTATCCCGTTTTCGTATATCTTGATAGGTGGAGCGTACGGCTCGTCATCCATAGCTTCTAGAATCATTTCTTCGAAAACCATGCGCCCAAACTCTGAATTACGATATGATTTGGGCAAGGCATTCATGCGGTCTTGCAAACCATGAGGAAGGTCTTTGGCACGATTGTATATGGACGAGAGAAGTCGTTGGGAGGCGGTGAAGGATTGCCAAGTTATGACAGGATAGCCACCAATGTACTCGGCGACACCGAGGGGCAAGGGTTTGTCTAGTTGTTTGACAGCATCGGCAGTGGAAAAAAAATCCAACGGTGGTGGTTCCACGGAGGATCGGGATCTAGATAGAGAACGATGATGAGAGGACCGCCGACGGAGGGAATGCCTGGAGACAGCGTCCGGTGGTGGGGTGGTCCTGCTGCTGACGAGTAAATAGTTATCTTCAGACACGGTTTCCTGTGAGCTCTAATAAGAAATGCATCCCACTGCCAATTAACGCGTACATCTACCCTGATATCCACTGGCGCCGTGCTGGTATGGCCACGACCTGGCGTCATAGCTGATGTTTGGTGGTCTAGTACCAGGGTATCTCCGGGCGCCGCAACCGAGTCTGACTCTCCAGCAGGTAGCGTCTGTCCCGCGTGGCCAGTTTCGGCTCCCACAGCCATTTCCACGTCTGTGGTAAGCATACCAGACTATCAGGGTTTGCTTCAGCGTTCAAGATGCATAGAAATCGATAACCCCTACCTCTCCAACAGGCTCGGGATATCCTTGCACGAGCGGATGGGCTTCAGGCTCACCGGTTTCGAGGTAGATATCAGCCAGTTCTAGTAACCGGTCAGCATCAATGCCACCGTGGGGATGGTCAGTTTGGTCGACAGTAATACAGTTATTCTGTGAACCATCGCGCTGTGGCCACTGGCATTCCATGGTCGCTTCGATAGGCACGTCATGGAGTTGAATGGACGGCGGCATGCTTGCCACAGGGGCCGCGGATGATGGTGGGGCACTGGGGGTGGACTCTCCAGGAGGTGGTGCACCATTCCTACCGCGCGGCGTTTTGACGATGAATTTCTCGAAGGGGACACTAATAGACCGCCGAGGCGAATTGTGCGAAGGAGATGGACCATCCGGCCGCATCGGAGTCAAAAGAGATCGCTGTGTAGCAGGCGACTTCGATATGAGCTCCTCGAATGAAACAGGCACGCGACGCGCGAAAACGGGGCTCATTGAATGTGGTTTAGCAATTGATGCGGAGGAGGGAGTTGTAGTCGTAGAAAGGCCAGGAACATCAACCGGGACGTGCAGCGAAGGCTCCATCGCGGCCGAGCGTGTAGAGCTAGATAATTCAGACCTAGATCTCGATGCAGGGTGTGCCATCGCTTCGGTTAGGGAAGGTTTCGACCCCGGTTTGGGTAGTCGCTTGTCATGAAGAAGTGGACGCAAGCGAGTCAGTGAAGGTGATTCCCCAGAAACCCGAGGGGACTGCCGACGAGGCCGAGGCTCTCGTGATGTTTGGAATTGCGATGGAGTAGATGGAGGATCGACTCCATCGGACGCAAGTGGCTGAGAGGTGGTTTTCTCTAGTCTCCTCTCTGACTGAACGGCAGGTTCCTTGCTCTTTTGGCGAGTCACCTTGGCCTGCAGGTGATCCCGCCGAACTTGGTTTAATGTATCAACGAGAGATGCCTTCGAAAGAGGTGGCGGTCTGCACAGTGGGGGGATTCGTGGGCAGGGAGTCGAATGAGATTGCATGGCTGGGGTGGCAGACGTTGATCTCGATGATGGTTGGGGCGACTGGACTGAGGGTTGTACGGAAGGTGACGGGCATCGTTCCCGGAAAGGAAGAAAGGAACTCTCGGATCCAGAAGGCCTAGAAGGCAGCATGCGCCTAGCTTGAGGGAGATCACACTGCCTCGGTGATAAAGCTAATCCCACCGACAAGGGTATTTCCACCTCCTGCGTTGTGGTGAATACGTTCACTTCAGATGTCAGAGGCCCAGAGGTGTTCTGTGCAAATGGTTCAGAATGTGCCGCAGGAGCGCTTGCGGACGTTTGCGAGGAATCTTCAGCATCAGGATGTTCCTTCGCTGGTTCCGTGGGTAGGCCTGTTACTGAGAGTAAAACTGCCCTGTCTGGTTTTGGCATCTGAACCTATTCGTTGAAGTAGGTGTCGGTCCCTTGCTTATGCCGATGCTGAGTGACTCACCTCTACAGATGTGCTCTTCTTGGCAATCAACGGCATATAGGCGGTTTGAATTGAGGTACTTGGCCCAAGAGCACGAGAGAAAAAGGAGGTTTGGGAGCTCTCCGGACGATTGAATCGCACCAAGTAAGATGAAACATTTGGGAGCACAATTTCTTTGGAAGTGGGTGGCACTTTCTGAGCTTGCCCAGGAGTTGTGCCAGGCATTTGACCGATAGCAGTATTTTGGGACAGTTTGGAAGACTGAGCTTGAGTTGAGGATTGAAGCGGTATCAAAGCATCGCGTGAAGCAGTCTCCACTTTGTTAGAAGAGTTGATACTGCTGCATACGATCGTCTTTGATCCGGGCGAACTTTGTAGACTCTCTCTGTCATCTTTATTTCCACTATACTCTTCCGATGCGACATCTGCGTTGACTTGCCCACCACTCGCACCACGCCGCTCCTTGCATGCCTCCGTCGCTGAATTTCGTTCGTCCACATTTATATTCGGATCCGCGTCCGCCACGCCGTCGTCCCCACCGCCAAGATCGAGGTCGATGTCGCCAAACGCGCGGTCGACTGTTGTCATCATATCATTCCTATCAGTGAACAGACGGGTCCCAGGACGCACTCACGGGTGTTGTCAATGTCAGGCCGGCTTGGAGATGTGGGAGGAGAACAGGTACGAGGTGGTGAAGGCTCTGGGGATGCTGATGAAGCACGGCAGGAGCCAACGTCCATGTCGTAGCCGGGCATTGCGCCATCAGGGTCGGGAATTGCTGCCTCGTCATCCACGGTGAAGCCGTTACCAAGCTCGGGCACGGAAATAGACCGCAGTTCCGAGCTTCCCTCTTGTTGTGTTCCGATGATGGTGGTACTAACAGATGGTGCAGTTACCGTGGGTCGTCGATGCTCGTGGGTGACGGAAAGCGCAGCTACCGGGCTGTCATCATCGCTGTCTAAGATAGTTATAAAATCAGATGCACGGCGCGGTACCGTGCTATGGGATTTCTTTGCACTGCGAAATGTTGGCGTGCTTCGACGCCGCAGACGAGTGGGCGAACGGGGAGAATTGCCATCTGAACCGCTTGATATGACTATTAAATCCTCGGATCCTTTGGATATGGTTGTGCTATTCCCAAGAACCGCGCCGGTGCCGTGCGGACCACGTTCTCCGTCAGAGTCAGTGAGCTCAATTACTTCAGCATTACTTCGCCGTCTTGGAGTGTCAAGTGGGCGGAAATGTGCCAGTAGAGCGTTACGGTTGACTACGGCAGCTATTACAAGGCGTGCGTACGTGGGAAGGAATCAACTGGTAAGTAATGATAAGACTTACCCTTCCTTTTTGGTCGGACACGTGTGCGAGCAGGGGAATCTGGGTCGTCTGGAAAGGTCAAGGTGAGCAATGTTCGGCGTGCAATAGTGCGGAGCGCACAGACGGGGTGGTGGAAACACAGAAACTTGTGAAGCGAAAAAAAAAAAAAATCAAGCACGTACTGGATCTCTGAACACCCTGCAATAACGATCCAGTGGAGACTCTTGGACGACCATTTACTTGTTTACGTGCGACAACGCGGGTCGTGGGCGCAGGCACGTCACGCCGTGGGTCCCTCTGGACCTCCACATCCATGTTTTTCTTCCGCTCATCAAGTCTCTCCTTCGTATTAGCCTGTCTGATGACTTGGGACAATGTTCCCCCAAACTCGTCTGAACTGGAACCTCCAGTGAAAGTTGACTTCGTAGATGTAGACTTGTCTATCGCACACGTTGAAAGGGTGCATGACACGTTCACAGAAGGCCGTGGGCCAGTGGAACCACCAGCGTCCTCACTATCATCACTCGCTATACCCTGTACCCAGCGACCAGTGTTAGACGATCCGCTGAGCCCAAGGCGGGGAAATTTATTAACACGGAGCGCGGTGGAAGGGCTGTACTGGGCCTTGCGCTTTTGGAGAGGCGGGTCCGTTAGTTCCTTCTCTACTTCCAGTTCGTCATCGCCATCGTCGTCGCTAGAGCGCATGACAGATGATGCATCGGTTGGTTCTGTATACATTAAAGGAGGCTTCCTTGAGTGTGCTGGAAATTGTATGACCGTTGCCCCACCTCGTAGAGTAGTCCAAGTAGGACCTGGAGAACGACCGGCCGACATGTCAAATCTATATCTTCGATTAACAAGTTATACCGTGAAAGTACCACCACAGATACCAGTACTGTTGACGTGCATCGACAAGTACGTAAGTAAAAACGGCTAAGGTAGGGCACAAACAGTTTCGATGCATGTCACGTGACAAAGCATGATAAAACGTGACAAAACGAGGAAAAAACCATAGGAAAACGAACACTAGCTAGAATTACAAATTGCAAACTCTCAGATTGTCTAAATCATCAGTACTGAGATTTTGACAGTTTCAGAATATCAAAATTAGTCATGATGAAGAAGGAGATAGTTTTACAAAGTAAAAATGGTATTGTTAAGTCTAATATCATGTACAAATATTGTCCAAAGCATCACCACACTCCCTGGTGCATTGGTTGGCCCAATACCCAAGCATTCGAGGAGGGCACAAGTTGGCCTTGCCAACTTTGGATGCTGGGCAAAGAAGAAGAGAGTGTCAGACTCCATCAAGGCCAAGGAGAAAAAAGATAATGTAAGTCTACTCACTGCATTGTGCAACTAGAGCTTTACTGGTGTAAGATTCCCCCTGCTAGCTTAGATCTCTGTGAAATTTCATGTGGATCAACTAAACTAATCCTAATGCAAGTACCATAGGTTAGATGAAGTATCATACAATGGTAATGCTACAATCTTCTAATGGGCTACACCCAAAGTTGGAGCCTTGGGTTTCCTATTATGGAAGCAATGCTCCAGAGCTGCCACACTCTGGACCAGTGCTAACTCTTTGCCCACATAGTGTAGTCACATTTAGTCACAACACATGGGCAGCCTGTGCACCAAAACACCAACACTTATATAGACCCCAAGATGGGCCTGCCTAAATAGATTAGCTGGTACACATGGACAGGCCCAAGGGACTAAAGTGAGAGCAACATATGTACAGGCCTGTAAGTGCATTACCACAACATATGGGAGGGCCTGTGGTGGGTAAGGATGTTGAAACATTTTGACAGGCCTGTGACCAATTAAGTATACTGAGTTGCTGTAAGACATGGACAGGCCCATCCTGGTAGGTTACACCCCTGTTGCAACATCAAGGTGGGCCCACCTATCATAACATGGAGAGGGTCACAACATAAGGACAGGCCCATCTATGATTAGAATACAAAGTTGGCAAAATATGGTTGGGCCTGGGAGTAATATCATTTATGGTGTCACAACATCTAGACAGGCCTGTTCATAATAAGCTGTACCCCTGTCTCACAACATAAAGACAGGCCTGTCAGTAATGTCATTTCATAATGTCACAACATATAGACAGGCCTGTCAACAGTAAGAGGTACTGCTGTTGAAACATAAAGATGGACCTGTCACTAGTATCATTTAATAGAGTCACAACATAAGGTTGGGCCCATCAGTAGTATTATGCAACATATGGATGGGCCCATCCACAGTAAGATGTACCTCTGATGAGACATAAAGACAGGCCCATCAGTAATCTCATGTATAGCATCACAACTTATGGACAGGCCCTTCAGTAGTATTATTTATATCATCACAACATATGGGTGGGCCCAGCCCCAGTAAGATGTACCCTGTCAAAACATAAAGATGGGCCTGTCACTAATATCATTTAATAGAGTCACAGCATATGGACAGGCCCATCCACAGTGAGATGTACCTCTGATGAAACATAAAGACAGGCCTGTCAGTAATCTCATGTATAGCATCACAACATATGGACAGGCCCAGCCCCAGTAAGATGTACCCTGTTGAAACATAAAGATGGGCCCATCAGTAATGTTGTTTAATAGTGTCACAACATAAGGACAGGCCCTTCAGTAGTATTGTTTATGTTGTTGCAACATGTGGATGGGCCCATCAGTAATATCATCTAATAGTGTCACAACATAAGGACAGGCCCTTCAGTAGTATCATGTATATCATCACAACAAATGGACAGGCCCATCTAGCAAGATGCACCCCTGTCGCGACATAAGGATGAGTCCATGTATGGTATTCTTAGGCAGCAGAAAGGGAGATCCAAGCTATCTACATAAGGATGGTCCATGTAAGGCATTCTCAGGCAGCAGAAAGGGAGATCAAAGGGATCTACATAAGGATGGGCCCATCCATGGTATTCTCAGGCAGCAGACAAGGGAAAACAAAAACCAGTGTTACAACATAAGATGGGCTGATCCATCCATTGCAGGATTACAAACCCTTGGCACTGCATAAGACAGGCCAATCTGTCATATCATAGATAGCTCACCACAAATGGACAGGCCTATCCATAATTGGGTTATCCCCCTGTCACAATATAAGACAGGCCCAGGAAGACAAGAAATGAAGAAAGTGGAACCTGTTGCACTATAGAGTATCTGAATTTCCCACTATAAATTGTGTTTCATGTTGAACAATTTGTCTATTTAGTTGGAATCTCAGGCACTGGTCTATGTAGCTGTGAGCCAGGCTCCACCATTGGAGCAGACAGGAAACATGCAAAACAAACAGCAATGCTATTCCAGAACAATGCATCATATTTTTATCTGAGCCTCTGCTTTATAAATGCATTCAGGATTATTGACTTGTACTGGTATTGCTGTCATGGTGTGGGAATCATTCATAGGTGAGATAAAAAATGTGACATCTGCATGTCTTGTCATCTGTCTTTAACCTCTGACTCTTCCACTCTCCAATCACCATCACCACTCTCACTGTCAAACTACTCCATCATCTCATCATCAGAAACATGTTGTCATTGTCATCTTGCAAGCTCTTCAAGAAATTGCCTGAGCTTGATGCTGCAGCCAACTGCATCCTTCAAATTTACTTCAAGGATATTGTGGAAAGCAGCATGCTGGGAAAGGTGGACAAGATTGTGAAGTGGAGAGGTGCCATCAAGGCAATAAATGATGAACTAGTGCATCATAGCATCATCACATTTTTTTCACTAACTGATGCATTCAGGATGCTGTACATGACCTCATCACTAGGACGGATGAGATTCCAATGACCCTCATCAGCATTGACATGTTTTTAAAGTGGCATGAAGACCTTGGCTTGATCAAGCACCCATGGCCTGAGTGGATGACTGCCCTATCCCCTTCCAAAACCGATGTTGCCAACCACAAGTGGCTTGACATTGTCGAGTGTCAATATGACTACCACCAGTTGGGCCTCCCTATGCCCCACATGGTGCCAACACCAACACCACCTGCTCAAGAGACCAATATGCCTATGAGTGACAAAGGAAAATGGAAAGTGACTGAGGCAGAGGTGGAGCAAATGATAGCAGATAGCTCACACAGGATGGAGGTGGATGATGAGGGTGAAGATGAGGTGCCAGAGAAGGAGGATGATAAGGAAGAACCAGCACAAGGCAGGCAGAAGTGCAAAGCTGCTGTGAAAATGATGTCCCATCGATCCAGACATCAATCCCACTCTAGGAAGGAAACAGTGGAAACCAACAATGATGAAGATGTTCCTGCTCAAGGCCAATCAAAACACAAGCCTCATCCACCATCAGATGGACTATACAGTCACACTGCCATAGCTGCCAGAAGGATGCCTTCCCCTGACCCCCATTCCTGTGAGTCATGCCACAGATGCAAGGTCCAATGCTACAAGAACCCTGGGAAGTCCTGCTTCCCATGTGACAGTCACAAAATTTGATGTAGCCATGCCAAAGGTGGGATTGCTGCTCCAACTCAACAGAATCCATTGTGGGCCAGGGGAAAAAAGTGAGCTCAAAGTCTGTCCCCAATGATGGAGGCCCAAGAATCCCAAAGCCCAAATGAATGTCCCCCAAAGCGACACATTTCGATGGCTTCCAAAGCCATCAATGCCAGGGTTGGGCCCTCCAACCAGGGAGAGACAATCCCCAAGGGCTCTTCACTTGGTATGTTCACAATTTCATGTATTTATGCTGACTCAAATTTTATTTATAGATTTGTATTCCTGCATTCAAATGCAGGGATTCCTGCCCAATCCCAGCTGCTGTATGAGTGAATTTGATCATTGAGGCTGGCCCATCCATTGCACAGGAGGTAGAGGGATCTATGGCAGCAGGTATGTTTAATCACTCTACATTTACACTAATTATTGTGGTTAACCCTTGTATTCAAAGCAGACACCTACTGTAGGAAATGGATTTAAATGAGGAGAGAGGTTTAGTAGGGATATCTGAGGGGAATGAGTAGGCCAAAAGGGGCTTCTATAGCCTGGGACTGGATCCTGGTAGTCATCTGAAGGCTTCTATGGCTGTCTTGGTGCAGGGAACAACCTGCTTGAGCTCATCTCTTGTCTGTGGTAACTCATCTTTTGTTATTAAGGAAAAACCTATACACAAGTAATACTACTGCTGACTAAGCATCCAAAGATGCAAAATCTAAGTACAACTCATAGAAAAAGGTGTCTAGAATGAAAACCAAGTAAAACAAGCAAAATAAAACAATTCCCCTGATAGTGAAATTGCACTCCCTACACTGCCCATCAGCAACAGCAGCACCCATCCAACTTGCAACCACTGCAACTCCCAGTGCACTGTCACCTGTCCATGCCCCAATTGCCAAGGTGTTACAAACATCCAACACAATCAAAGAGTGAATCAAAGATTTGGAATGTTGACTCTGTGATGCTGAGGCCCACTGCCAATACTATGAGGATCAAATGTATGATTTCCAAATACAACAGGACAAAACCATGCAGATGCTGGACAGGATGGCTCATGAGCTGGAGGCTCTGTGTATTCAGGTATATGGATGAGCATTGGGTGACAATCTCATTGATCTCTTAGGGCCTCTGGCAGATGAGACAAGGGCAGATAGGACAGCAGGGTGAACAAGGCCATCTATCATTTTACTCCTCCATGGTACATACAATGTCATTTTGTATTTCCATTTTAATTGACCACTCATGCCACATCATATATTCAACCTTTATTTAAGAGTGAGAAAAAGACAATAATGGCTAGACAGCCAACAGAATTGTGAAGGATAATCTCATTCTACTAGAACAACTGCTAATGTATCCTGATAGGTGGAAGCTTAGTGAATGCATGGCTTTGTGATGTAGAATAGTTGACTTGAAACTTAAAAA